CCCAATGCTAGAAATGGACTCCCTCTCTTGAAGCTGTTGACTAGGGGTCCCTCAAACAATATTGGCCATTGCTCCTGCTCTTGGTTTCCCACCAGAACTTTATAGTAAGCCCCTATTGCTGAAGAAACTACAAACATGAGCTATAGAACAAATAAGGAGGAATTCAGCTGATGTTGACTTCAAAGCCTCAACTCTACTGGCTAGCTTTCATAGTGCTAGAAGGTGCTATGAATGATATCTGCAGAGAAAATTCATCATCAACCTTTCCCAGCTGTAAATTGTACAAGCTACAACTGACCTGAGAAGATACGCTCACCAGTGCAGTAGTGACACACATATATTATGGGAGTGACCAATCACTTTCTAATTAGACTCAGGCCTATACCTGACACTGATATCAGTTGTAGGAGCCTGAGGCTAGACAGGTCACAAGACATAGGAGAGAGCCTGATACTTGTTTCCTGCTAAATAAATATTGTATTAAACTGGCTCCTAATGAATTATTGTTAGATCTATAGATTAATGAATCTCTCAACTCTTACCTAGAGTCTTCCTTATGCAGTAGATGGTGATTTACATAGAGAACCACAACTGAAATCAAGAGGCTGCAGAGCACGTATCCCTGAATAGGGTATTGATGTCAAACTTCTACCTTCCAAAGCTCAGGGATCATTATAGAAGAAAGGGTAGGGGGTGGAGGAAGATTGTAAAAGCCAGAAATGGTGGATGACCACAAGGAAGTAGGGTTTTCCAGATAGCTGGTCAGTTGCTCATATGAATTCAGAGCTTGGTGACTCAAGCTCAAACCAGACAAACTTCCAGTTTAGATTTGGGGAAGTGGGTAAACAACCCCAATCTAATCTGAGGAACTGTTGGCAACTGATGGCTGCTGGGAGGGAGAGAGTCCATTTCTTTCAAGCATAGAACTCTTGCTAGGTTAACCGGGCTCTGGTGGTTGGACCCACACTGAATGACATTGAGAACAGATATTAGACTGTATAGGCCTTATCGTGTATACATGCATACATATATATATATGTATACATGCATACATACATATATATATATATGTATATATGAGTATTTTAAATTGAGAGGGGATTAGTAAGGAGAGATATAGATAGGGGAATCTAAATTTTGAGAAATATATTGCATGAAAATCTCAAAAATCTACTTAGAAAAAGTAAATGTGTGAGTGTGTGTTTGTATCAGCCATTTCCTTCCATTGTAGCAACATCCTATTTTATCCCCCCCTTTATTTTTGCAAATGAGGAAACTGACACAGAAAAATTAAATAAATTTCCCAAGGCTTTCTGCTTATTAATCAGAAAGCCAAGTTTCAGACCCAGGATGTTTGTCTACAGAACATAGATTCTAGAAAGCATCACTGTTTTTTAAACTGGTATCAACTCCAGGGTCTTAACTTTTTCTTTAAACAAAAACTGAATTCGTTGAAATCTTTAGATGGCATTTGGCATTTAAAAGGCACATGGTATTTAAAATTACCAATTGTAAAAAGCATTTATTATGGTAAAAGCCCAAAACTTCTTTAAAAGAATGCCAAAAGTAACTTCAAAAAATTCTGCTAAGAAATTTCTAAAAACCTTAGCAGTGAAGGAAAAGTACTGAAGGCAAGGATGAACTTTAATGGAACCAGAAAAACAAAACGGAGACTGTGACCTCTTTTTTAACTGAATAAATAATGTGCAGAATAAAAACAATGAGTCAGACTCCAGTCTCTTTTCTTAGTTCTCTGGGAACACTGTTCTCCGTTAAGGCTGCCCCAATTGCTGCTCACTCAGGTTAATAATTTGTCCTCAAAGGTCACAGTTTATAAAGGCCCTATTCTCGTTTTCCCATGAGTTTTGTTAGTCATCCCAAAGTAAGGAGCACAGATTCATCAAACAAAATCTATAAAACAAGGCTGATGAATTCTGAATCAATGTTTCTCCCTGGTGAGCTGCACTGTGGTTAAAAAAAATTGTGTTGAAAGTGCCCCACTATTTCCTCAAATTAATTGATAGCATAAATCTTGGAGAATATTATAATAAAGACAATCATCCCATTTTACAAATTGCTGAATTATATTCCTCCAAAAATTATATTTGGAATCCTAACTCTACTTGCTCAAATTGTGACTGTTTTGTGAGTACTTTCAAATGAGTAATTAAAAGAAAGTGAGATCATATGAGAAGGGTATTATCAAGGGAGAAATGGGGAAAATGGGGGCACTTTAAATGGGGAAACCATGGTGGAATGGTTAGACAGTGAGAGAGAGAGAGAGAGAGAGAGAGAGAGAGAGAGAGAAAGGAGAGATAAATAATGCCTGGCTATCTTAAAAAAAACAGAAGGAACCATTTTAGTTCAACAACCTACTGACAAATCATACATATATTATCTCTACATGAGTCCATGTGTATAGCTAAAGACTGCATAAGAAGAAACAGTGCCAGATAGGAGATATCTTCCTTTGAATTGTTGGCCAGGGTGGTCTAAGAGACTCCAAAAATTACTCAGGCTATTTCCACAGCTCCTTGTCACCTCCCAGAACTTGAAGTTAAGACCCTACTGCCAAAGACAGAACATACATCAGACACAGGATTTGGAGGAATAGAGCTACAACTGACCTGGAAGCCACTTTCCCTGAAGGTGAGCTCTCATAGCTTTGGAGAACGTTATTAAAGTGCCAAGGGAAAACACCAATAGATTATCTAGCACCAGCTTCAAGACCAAATAACCACATCAATGGCCAGCATAGCATACGTCATAGGTGCAGTAGTGGCACTCTTATCTTGGGAGCAATCAACAGCTACCTAATTTGACTAAAAGCTCACTCAAAGGGAGGAAACTCAAATATGCCACTGTAACATAACCTAATACACATGGCTGGAGTGGTCATAGATCTTAGAGAAAACCCCAAGACTGTCACATCCCTAGACTAATGTGATTTCTTACTATATGCAAAATATGTATCCTTATATTTACAGACTAATATCCCCGTCACTACTCATCAAGGAAGCTCACGTTGCAGCAGTCAGAGACTAATGCCAAGTACCACAACTGGTCACACACAGACATTGTCTATGAATTTCCCAGGCCTAAGGGTCATATTTACAATGCAACCTCTACACCTAAGGCTTATGGTACATAGAATAGGGATAAACAAGAGGATGCTAATGTATCAGCTCTCAATAATGAAGCTCCCTCATGCAGCAGAGAGACAAGAACATAAAAGGTCACAAATGACCAAAATGTAGAGATCAAGAGTCTGCTAAATAATTGTCCTTGGACAGGACCCCTTTATTAAACTTCATCCACCCAAGGCTTAGGTACCATTGCACAAGAAGAGGTAGAAAGACTGTAAGATCGGGGAGGAGGTGCATGACTATAGGGAAACAGAGTCCTACAAGCTCCTGGGAACCTGCTCATATGATTCTATGACATAGGTGTCAGCATACCCAAGTCCCATGCAAACTCAGGTAGACAGTAACCCAGCATAGAACTAAGATAATGAACAGCAGACCCCAATCTTATTTAAAGGAATGTTGGCAACTGATTGCTGCTAGATGAAGAAGGGCTGATCTTCCTAAAACAAGGGACTCTAGATAGGCTGACTAGACTCAGCAGATGGACGTGCACTAGGGAATGGCTGGGGACACTGACAACATAGTGGGCAGTAACTGGGATGACAGAGTATATGGGCTCCAGTGGGGTTAGGGGGAGGCTATGGGAGGGTGCCAGTGAGGATGAGGGTATAAAGACGATTAAGATTGTTTGAGATGTTCTGTATGAAATACAAAAAAAAAAGAAAGAAAGAAATCAATAAAAAAGAGAAAGAAAGTGAGATCACACAGACTAGTGATGTGTAAAGAAAAATAGACTGAAGAGATAGCTCAGTGGTTAGGAGTGTTATTGTTCTTACAGAGGACCCAGCTTCAGTTCTAAGCACCCACAAGGTGGCTCACAACTGCCTGTAACTCCAGTTCCAAGGGCTCTGATGCCATCTTCTGGTCTCTTCGGTCTCCTGCACACAAGCAGTGTGCACATACAGATAAGCAGGCAAAACATTCACACACATGCATTTTAAAAAAACTTTTAAAGAAAGAAAAGAAGAAAGAAAGTTCGTGGATAGGCTCAATTCAGTATGACTATGTCTTTATGGTGATAAAATTAGGAGTAGGGTGTGACAACACACACCTGTATTCCTAACGCTTTGGAGGTGGAGACAGAAAGATCAGGATTTCAGTGTCATTCCAGGCTCCATAGTGAGTTTGAGGAAAACATAGGCTACAAGAGATCCTGTTTCAAAAACAAAAAATGCACAAAACTGATAAAAACCAGGCAGGGAATAGACACAGGGAGCATAGGAGCACTCCAGTAAAGCAAAGTTTATTTCTTAGGATTGCTGGTGGCTGGCAGTTCAGCTGGGGAGAGAAAGGCAACCAGCAGCCTGCTGACTGCTGAGGAAGTTCTTACAGGGGGATTGGGGAATTTGGAAGGTGGCAAAAATAATCTTTAGTTTCAAGGGAAGTAGCTTGAACTGAAACAGTTCTTACATCAGTGGGTCTGGGTGCAGGGTCCTGTTTATCTTCCAAAATTATCTGGGGAGCAGCTTTGTGCTGAGACAGCTCTAAATGTAGCTGTCTGGCCAGTTCCTGTTTTGCAAGGGGGCCCTCGTATCCTGTCTTGTGAGGCTATTTTACACTGGGAGAGGGTCCTCTGCAGACCTGGACTCTAACAAAAACAAAATAAAGGAGAAGGAAGAAAAGATTAGAATACAAACAAGAAGAAAATAAAAGGCATTGCCAAGGCATCAGATTGGAAACAGCAGTGACTACATTGATCTCAGACTTCCAGCTTCCAGGATTGTGAGAAAATAAATTTGTTGTTTAAGCCACCCATTCTGTGATATTTGCTGTGGCAGCTCTTGGAAATGAGTATATGTACCATTCCATCCATGAGTCACATGTGGGCACAATGAGATGGTTATAATCTGGGGGCTGATACCACCCAAATCATCTCTTAATAGAGAAGAAATGATCAGGTAAGAGAAATAGATACGTTTCACCTGTTGTATTGCTAACTCCACTTGAAGTTCAGCGTGTATTGCCTGGCACACGTCAATTTGGTATCTATATTTTCAGGTCAGTGAAGAATCTGCAATGTTCAGTGGGTGCCAGTTGTGAGAATAAGGAATGAGTTCCCTGAGGAGAGAAGAAGCTTGCCCAGAGCTGTTGTTACAGGGTAAGTACCCCTTCTACATGCCTGCAGATTAGCCAGATTCAGCTGGGGAAAATGCTTTAGCCTTGAAGAAAGATTAGATTGTGTAGAATCTTTAGATTTTTGTCATTTTTATTTATTTGACAAAAGTCTGAAGCCCATCTTTTGCCAGGAACTATATGAAATCCTAGCTGATGCTTGCATTAGTGCTACAGCTAATGCTGCTATAGCAAAATACCACAGAGTGGGTGATTTAAGCAACAGAAAGTTACTTCCTCCTGGTTCTGGAAGCCCAAGTACAAGATGCCTGAACATTCAGATTCTGAAAAAGCCTGTCTTCCAGGATTGCAGAGTCCGTCATCCTCTCACTGCCTTTCAGATGGCTTTTCTATGGGTGCACACAGAGAAGGAAAGGACTCTGGGCTGTCCCTTCCTTTTCTTGTACAGGCACCAGTCATTTAATGGGGGCCCCATCCTTGTGACCGCACTTCAATGAAAGTAAAGGTTCTATTTCCAAGTACGGTTACATTGAGGGCTAAGGCTTCTATCATTACTGTGACAAAATACCTGACAGAAGCAACTGAAGGAAGGAAGGGTTTAATCTGGCTCACAGTTGGAGGGTCAGTCCACCAGGACGGGGAAGTCATGGCAGCAGAAGCTTGAGGCAGCTGATTGTGTTAGAGCCACAAGCAGGATGTGGAGATGGATGATGAATGCCTGTGCTCACCTCAAGGTCCCTTCTGTAGCTGGTCTAAGACCTCAACTCATAAACTGGTAGCATTCACATTAAGGTGGGTCTTCCTATCTCAGTTAACCAGCCTACATAATCGTTCACAGAGAGCCCACAAATTTGTTTCCATAGTGATTATAAATTCCATCAATTTGGAAATCAAGATTAACTATCACAAGGGCTTTAATAAACAAATTTGGAAGAAATGACATTTAGTTCATAACAGACTAATAAAACCACAGATTCATTTCATCACAATGAAGTAGCTTGCAGAGCATGTCCCACATTTAAATGGATACCACACGATGCCTGACTTACATATGCCATGATTTAAATCACTACATGATCAGTGTACACCAGATAAAAAATCATTGTATGAAAGAAACACAAGTGATACAAGCAGAATCTATTTCTAAAAAAGAGGAAGTTCAGTCAAATTGAAATCAAAACATATTTTCCTCATATTAACAAGCAAGTCTTCAAACCCAAAGAACTATGCACAATTAGTTGCACACTTAAGTGTTTACTCTGTTAGAGTAAACATGCTAATAATGAAAAAAATGTAATTATTACACAAATATGTTCTCTTTAGGTTTGTAAATCAGAACAAGGGTTCTTTTATAAATGATTGATAATAAAAGCCTAAAGCACAACTTAAAGATTTAATTTCATCAATTAAAGGCTAAGCAGAGGAATAATTCATGAATTTGTCAGTCATTCATTCCTATTGTAGCTCTTATCTGACCATGAATAAATTACGGGAGTAATATATTTACTTGTTATATTTTTATCAACTATTAAGATGTCTACCATTTGGAGTAGAATCTTTGTTATACTTCTTAGCCTGACGTCCTTTTAGCCTTTGGGTAGCATCCATATTGTAAAACGCTTCACAGTCATCTTGCACTTGTCTTCAGTGGCAGTCCTGCAGAGTAACACATTACTGGGGGAAAACTGTGTGTTAGGCCCGTCAAAGAAAACTCAAAGGGCAAGGAGAAAAACTATAGTCAAGAATGGTTTTACAGCATCATTTCTATGCTAACCAAATCTGAAATCTATATCTTGTATAGTTAAAAACAACACCTGAAAACCTTGTTTCATTTAGTCAATACCTTTTAAATTATTTGTAAAGGTTAAAAAGCGAAGAACTCTAGGTGCATTTCAGTATTTGGAGTATGAACTCGGTAGCCTGTGTTTTATGATCAGCAGTTTCCTAATTCATTTTCTCTGCTGTTATTCAATGCATGATTTTTGATCCTCAATTCCTCCAGGGTAGCAGGGAGAGCAGAGCTGGTTAGCTTCCTTAGGAAACTGCCTTTATTTATTTAGTAATCTGAGTGATACTCATGCTGCTGTATTGAAACATTGCTGAAAGCAAATGTGTCCTAAGCTCTCTAGTGAAGAACAAGCTTGCCTTGCTATAAGCCCAAACCCATCACATCAAATTGCCAAGCAAAGGGAAAACAAATGCAGTCTTTTTGGACTAAAAGCTTTTAAAGCAACTTCCTATCTTCAGGCTCTGTTGCAGGTCTTTTCTCATCAACTAATGGAAGCCCCGCCAGTAGCCCTGGATCTGCAGACCCTTGAACAGAAATGACAGCTGGTAAGGTTTTAGGACCGTTGACCGGTCTAGCTCCATTTCCCAAAGGACGAATATCATCACGTATTCCTAACCGTTCTTTGCTCTTTCTTTTTAGTATATTGAAACAATAAGACATTTACACTAAATGCTATCTTGACCAACTTACAATATTATTTGCTACTAGCACTGAGATTTCATTCTTATTATAAATAGTTGGAATAAAGACATTTATTTTTCCAGGTGTGGTATACAATGCTAACCCTAGAACTCAGGTGGCTGAGGCAAAAGAATCAAGAGCTCAACACTGCCCAGACCCTGTCTCAAACAAAAGTATATTCCTCCTGGAAATAAAGTACTAGTATAAATAAGTAGAGACATTTTTAATGTCACATTAATTTCATGTACAATATATCATCTTTATTCTCATAGGCAATTTAAAAACATTTATTTGCTTTGTCCCTATACGAAGGTAATTTTAATAAATAATCATGGAGAATAAATTCAAATCAGTATCCCCTAGGCTTAAGTGTCTTTATAAACACCACAATCTAGTGCTACAATGAGACAATTTTCATTCTAGCCACAGAAAAGTTCAAATAATTTTGACTATTATATAATCAAAGTTGTGTATAATCTAGCCCTGGGGATGACAAGACTGTATAATAAACTTTATTTATTATAATACAGTCCTTGCCAAAAAAATTGTTTCCGTTCTTTCACAGGTTGCTGTGCTGTATTTTTTAAATAAATGAATAAATACAGGAGTCTAAAATTTATTTCATATTCTACAAGGATGAATACAATAATGAATGACCCAGATGACTTGCATGACCCAATTTTCCCTGGTGTCTGCTCCTAAAAGCAGTATAAAACAAGCCAAATATTAGTAAGTATACACCACAATAAAAATACACATCTACATAATTATCTTGTTTCTTGGGCTTTCAACATTAGCACTAGACTTAAACCATTGTAGTACAAATATTAATTTGAAAATATGAAGGTTTAATATAAATGAAATATAAATGCTTAATAGAATAAAACACAGAAATCTTATCATCACAGAATACAATGTAAATTGGGTCTACATTAATCTATAATGAGAATATATTATAAAGAAATTAGTGAATGAGCCTGTTCGCATCACTAATTGAGTAATAAGTTACCAAGCTATGAGTTTAGGAGACGTATCATTGGTGTTTCGTTTTAATGGGAAACAAATCCAGAATTTATACAATGGCATTGATTCTACAGGTTTTTTGAGAAGAAATATTTCCAGCTAGTTTTTAAGGCATAAACGCACATTTCTGTTCTGTGGCATATGTGCTATTAGCCTGCCCAATCAGGGCTGTGAACTTAAATGAGATCAAATTAGCTCATCAATCATTTCTGTTAACAAAATAAAGAATAGCTAATAGTAGGTAAGCTAAGGGCAAAAGTGCTAATAAAATTAATGGAAATGAACATATAAGAAAAATGCACATGTACAAAATCTGCCTTGCTCCTATCAGTTGCCTAAGCAGCAACCTACAGAATACACTGGGAAAGACAGCCAGGCTGCTGCAGCCATTGAGTTGCACTAGGAATGGACTTCAGAACTGTCCACAAGAGGGTAGAAAGAGAGGAGAAGCAGAGGTGGAGGCAAGCAGGGGCCAAGCGCAGTCAGCAGGGCACAGAAGCAGAGCCAGGAATGGAGGTGACAGGGGAGTCTCAAGTCTCTGACTCTGGAACTTAAGCAAAGAAATTTTCTTTGAGTTCCCTTGCTGGTCCACTTTGGCAAAGGATGTTGACAAGGACTGTGTACCCATTTGTAACATTTAATTTTCCTTTCCACCTGGGCATACTTAATTGATCTGGCACCTGAAGGATGACAGGAAGAAAACAGAAAGCGGGTTGGGTGGTATTGAACACACGTAGAGAAATGGTTCTGAAAAAACAGACATGAGCCAGGGTAATAAGGAGCTTTCTAACTGCAGACACAGACATTCAAGAGTCAGAATGTGATACAAACTCCTGTGTTATCCTTGACCTTCCAGTTTTGCTTTGAGGATCTCTTCTATCTACAAAGCTTGGGCCTCTGAGGTTGATTCTGTCTATGGGCTCCTGTCAAAGAGAATATATAGATGGTTTGCATCTTTAAAGTACAGGCATCTTTGCTTCTTTTTAATTTTTTAAATTTTTATTTCCTTTTGTTTTTTGCGTCTCATGATGTAGCCCTGGCTAGCCTGGAACTTGCTGTGTAGACCAGGCTGGCCTCAAACTCACTCACAGAGATCTTCTTGCCTCTGCCTCCCAGGTGCTGTAATTAAAGGCCTGCAGCACCATGTCCAAGTTACCCTTTACTTCCTTAAGTGTTGCAAGCTAATATTAGTAGCACTTGGTCAGAAATGCCATTTTATCAGTTTGGGTTGCCTTATTTGAAAAATCAGCAGGAGGTATTATTTATTTTGGCTAAGGATTGAGATGTTTCTTTTAGAAACCTCCATTTGCATTATTTAGAAATTAAGTGGAATTATCAAATTCACAGCAATAATAAAGTATAATTCATCAAAACTGGCAGTAGTTAATTTCCATAAAGCTAATTAGAACAGACAAAAAAAATCACAGTTGCTTCTCTGTGTGCTTTGATTCCGACTTTCAGAGTGGACTGGCCTCATAACCGCTCCTGTCCTTGGCGTTTCACATGGACGCTGATGCATGCACCAGAGTCTATCTTTGGCACTCCTCTGACTTGTTTAAAGGGCAGAGGAAGGAAAGAGGAAGAGGACACAAACTAAATGAAATAGTAAAGGTCAGGGAGTGGGAAGGGAATACACACAGAGAAAATAAAATTCTTCTTCTTATGTGTCTGGTATAGTCTATGAAGATGGTACTCAAAATGAAGCCCCATAAAAGCTCTAAGTGGGATAAGAGATGGAGAATCAGACTCAGGGACCCCTCTCCCACACTGATCCCTGTTCTCACTCAAGTCTTTTCCCCCTAACTTCACTGATCTCCCTGTGGACTAACAGAAGATAGACTGTATCTTCTTCGCAGCTTGCAGGAAGCTCACTCAAATCCAAATTGATTGGTGCAATTACTGTCTCTAGTAGCATCTGCTCAGCTA